AGAATACTGTGTCTTGTTGCATCTACCTGGCATGCATCCCCAAAGCATGAGTGAGATTTCTGCTTCCTTAGGCTTTGTTTTGTGTTTCTTTTCATATTTAAGGAGGGTAGATCCTCTCTGGTGCTACTATGTTTAATAATGGTAGTAAAAAAAGAAAACTATTACATATAGTGAGAAATGAGGATTAAACCCTGCAGACAGAGCATCAAACCTCCAAAAAATTATAAACAAATGTGATTTGATGAATGTCAGCTTCAAAAATTTCCAAAGAGTACCATTTTATTCCTATTTGTAATAGCCGAAAATTAACATCCAAGAACAACGAACGCTCATAAAGCAACAGAAATCACCTTTAAAATACACAAAAGCTTTCATTTCTTTAACTAGTAGCCATTTAAATAGTAAAGTGTAGTAAACTTGAAGTGATGATAACCACACAGCGCTGCTGCAGTGTAGACAAGAGTGTGACTCATGGTTGCAAAAGAGCTCCTGGAAGCCAAGGGCGGCCGCACAGACCTCTAATTCCCGCACTCAGGAGGCTGAGGCCGGAGGATCACTGAGTTCAAAGCCAGCACTGACTATACATAGTAAGACCTTGTCTCAAAAAAAAGAGTGTGTATGCCTGCTGCCAGAGCAGGACTGCACCAGGCTCTAGTTCATCACAGCACAGCAGGAACACTCAAACAGATGGCAAACCAAGGTGGTGCACCCACAACAACACAAAGAATCAGAGCATTTCTGATCCTGAATGCGCTCTGGATTGTGCCCCTTTAAACAACAATGCCTCCCACTTAAAAAAAAATACTCAACATGTACTTTTTCACTCAAAAAGAAAAAAATTATTCAATTTGATCTTCAATCCCAGAAAGCAAAACAAAATTGTATGAGTTCTCAGTACGCTCCTGATTAGGATTTGTTCTTCTCTTTTGTAAAATCCCAGTGGGACAGAGAAAGCTAATGGGTACTAATACCATAGAAACAGACAATATGTTTATTAAAATGCAGAGTTGCCAGGTGTGGTGGTACACACCCGTAATCCTAGCACTCGGGAGGCTGAGGCAGGAAGACTGCCGAGAGTTCAAGGCCAGCCTGGGCTACAAAGTGAGCTCAAGGCCAGCCTGAACTGCATAGTGAGACCCTGTCTCAAAAAAAATAAAGTAAAATAAAATAAAATGCACAGTGAAGAATGAACTGCACCACCCTCTGAACCCCTGGGTGGACAGTCTCTGTTCATAATCAAGATGTGAAGTCTGGTTTGAATGAGAATTAAAAGTAGATACGTAAGTCTTGTTCCTGACTTTTTTCAGGGGCGGGGGCAGCTCAGACCAGAAGCATCAGTGTTACAGAGGAGCCGATTTAAAATGCTGAGGGCTGGGGATGCAGCTCAGTGGCAGAGCACTTGCCCAGCTCGCCCAGCATGCATGGGGCCCTGGTTCAATTTATAACACTGAAAAAAATGCTGACTCTCACACCAGCCAGCGACGCAGTAAATCCCAATCTGCACTTCGGCAGGACACACAGGTGACTGTGGGCACACTGGTTGAGAAGCCTCCTCTGGAGGACTTGGAATGAACAGGTGGACAGCTAATCCCTCCTGCTAAAGATGTTACTTGGCTGCTCCAAATACATTCTCCACTGGTCCCAGCAATACAACTTTGACTATTCTTGCATAAAAAACAAAACTGGGCTTCAAATTTCTGTTCTGCCACTTACTAGCAAGTTACTAAACTTCTGAATACTGGTCTCTTTACCTAAAGAAAGGGGAATAAGAAGAAAAACTACTTCACAGGGTTGTCAGGAGAATTACAAGACAGAGAAATGTAAGGATGCTAAGAACTGTGTCCGGCAGAGGAGTAAAAATTGCTTCTACTTGGTAATAAAACAGAAAACACTGCTCTAGCCTTGAAAAATAGTGCTAATTTTACCAAAGTTAGTGTGAGTATTCAAACAATTCCAATAGAAGTTCCAGTAGATACTTTTAATTAGAAAAAATAATCTTAAGGTCTATATGAAAAAAGAAACCTTATAAAAGACAAGAAGTATAAATTTAAATGTAAAAGAACATACACAATTCTCTAGAAAAATTATATTTAAAAAGAATATACAAAACTCTAACTAGGCCAGGCATGGTGGTGCATGCCTGCAATCCCAGCACTTGGGAGGCTAAGGCAGGAGGACTATCAAAAGTTCAAGGCCAGCCTGGGCTGCACAGTGAGTTCAAGGACAGACTAAAGTACATAGCAAGACCCTATTTCAAAAAAGAAAGAAAAAGTAACTATTGCATAGCAGCAAATAACATCAATGAAACCAACAACCAGTAGGGCAAACTTAGATGCTAACTATGAAAGTCAATGATATGAAATATGAAATAAAACCTTATTATATATTATATACATCTTATGTACATGTAAACGGTATATAGCTGATGCTTACTGGTAGTGGGGGAGATACAAAATAAAGTAACAGTGAGGTGACACTTTAAATGTTCCAGAGTGACAAAAATTAAAATGTACCATCACACCAAAAACACGGCAACAAATATTTGTGTACACATAATGATGTGTTTTCGTGCTTTCATTACTAAGGGTTAGGTTTCCAGGACAAGGCTGCCAGATCAAATGAACTGTAACAGTGGTTGCAGGGGCAGCATTGCTAATCATAAAAATAATAACTGCCACTATTACTAGCACAAATACAGTAGCAACCTACTTCCTGGTAATCTATTTGAGATTATCAATATTATAGGAATAAAAACTGCACAGAATACTACTACCTAGATAGCACTATGTGCCAGAGCTCTAAGTGCTCTGTATACATAATTCTAACTTTCACAACAGCTCTAAAAAGTAGGAATTATACCTATTTTAAAGATCTATGGGGCTGGGGATTTAGCTCAGCGGCAAAAAGCGCCTGCCTGGCAATCGCAACGTTGTGAGTTCGGTTCCCGGTACCGGAGAAAAACCAAAAAAAAAAAAAAAAAAAAACAAAGACCTATGAAACAGATACTGAACATGCCTACAAACACAGGAATAACTGTCAGCTATTTTTACGTTGGCTGTACATCTTGTTTTTGTTATTACTGTTGGTGTCTTTACATCTTTTGACATGGCAATTCCACCCCTAAGACTAGCCCAACTGAGAGGAAGCAATTTAATGAAAAGAAAAATCATGAAAGTGTATGAATGAAAATGGTAAATGTGAACAGGTATGAGTAATTTAACTGCATATGAAATTAAGATACAGGAGAGCATATTAGTGGAAAACCGCGGTTCCTCCACTAGAGAGGCGGTGTCACTGGAAGAGGAGCTTCGGAAAGAGGGAAGCCATCCAAAGAAATCGACAAGTAGAACACACACATGCAAAGTGAGAAAGTTGAAGGGTAGACACCAATAAAAAAAATAACATTTTTCCTCTCTCTGGGACACAAAGAACACTGGAGTAGTTGAAGGAAGTGATAGTTTTGGAAAATTTCATTTTTCAGAAGAGCAGTAGTTTCATAAATGATTAGGTTTTTCTGTTGGCACAATACAAATTGTCAAGAAATTTCCTGAAGCTTCATTTTTTTTATATTGAAAAACAAAAATATCTTAGCAATGTCAAGGTTCAAAACTGAACAAGGCTACATATAACAAGCACTATTTAAATGCAAGAAAGTTGAGTTTTTGTTCCTGGCACCGGCCCCATTAGAATATCTGACCTTTGGCAAGTCATTGGACTTGCTCTTAATTTCCTCATTCACAAAGAAAGGAAGTTCAACCAGGCCATCTTTAAAGTTCCTTTTAGTGATAGGATGTGATGACGCTATAATTAAAACATCATGTAGACAAATGAAAAATTAGCAAGTAGGAGTAATAATTACATATTTTAAAAGAAAGTGAGTTAAAAATCTTAATAGGCAGTAATTTAAAAACTACATAAAGATCACTTATATTTCCAAATGATAAATCTGACTGTTCAATGGTTTTATAGGTTGAGAAAAAAATAAAGTTACCATTTTAGCTATCTTTTAGATTACTCACTGAACTAAAACCTAGTTTCTCACTTTAAACTGGTACCATCCATAAGAAGCAGTTTAACCAAAATGTCACCCTTTAGAAATCATGTGTAACTGACTGCCTTCTCAAAAAAAGGCTGGTCAATGCCAGTCAGCCAGTCAAATAAAGTAACTCTACCTTATAATTTTTAGCAGGGAATTTTGAATATAAACTATTGACTAGACATTTTTAAAAACAGCAAAAAAAAAAAACACCAAAAAAACAAAAAACAAAAAAAAACCCTGCTTAAGCATGACAGCCTCCTGAAACAAACATCGGAGTTTCAGTTTTATATTTTCCCAAGTCTTATAAATGATAATGTGACTATGAATAACAGTATGAAAATTCTGCGTGAATATAAAGCACAGAAAATCACTCACAGGGCGTAAAAATTTATATATTTCATTTCCACAGTTACGAGATTTTCCAAAAGCATACACGAAATTCCTTGAACTTTGCCAACTTAGAAATACTTACGTGGAAATCACCTTTCAGACTGTATGGAATGTCCTAGAAGAATCTATCCAGTCTTTTGATAGGATATCTAGGTATGAATTCCTACAAAATTGCTTGCCCCAACCAAGTTTTATGGGTAGGGTGACATAAGAAAAAAAACGATGCAGTTATCTAAAATTCCTGAGAACAAGTGGTTCCCTAAGTAGTACGTCATAATTTTCTTATCTACCAGTGCAAGCACGTGCATTTATTTATATCCCTAGATTAACTCCAGGTCTAATTTTACTGACACTAGTATCCAGACGCGGATTTCTTTTTTCTAATTACAAATGGACCTTGAGCTAGATCAAAGACATTTTAAGAAGGTCAAATTTTACTTCTCTGACAGATGGAGGGTGCGATTCCAGGAAACTAACGCCGAGGCGTGCCCCCCGGCGCGTTATCTGGGGGCTGGAAGACCCGGTCCAGCCGTGCCCACCTGTCGGGGAGGAGTGGAACCGCTCGACTTACCCAAAACAGCAGATTGAGGGCGTACAGCAGGCAGCGCAGACACTTCACGGAGTCCTCTCGGGCCATCGTGAGCCTCGGCCGGGAGCAGCGCCATCCTTCAGCACATCCTGCCGCGGCGGCCCGAGCAGCGGCGCTCTGCGGGCGGGGAGACGGCTCAGCCCCGCGCCGCCCGCCGCCCGTCCGTCCCCGCCCCCGCCCGCCCGGCCCGACGCTCGCTGCCGCGCTCCTCTGAGACTCCCCCAGCGAAAGCTGCTGGTTAAAGTCTAACAGAAGCTGGGCTCCAAAAGTTGCAAAGTGGCTTCAGATAACACCTGCCGGGCAGGGGCGCACCCCCCCCGGGATGAGCGGAGGGCTCGGCGCGTTCTCGGGACGGCCCGGGGTCTCCGGAGCTCCGCCCCGCCCCGCCCCGGGGTCCGCGGGCT